AATAAAACAGTTCTTATAATCCATCATTGATTAATGTTCAGATAAGATTTGGGGGGGGGGGGAAAATATTGTCAACATGATATTATACTTTTTCGAAAAATATTGATTTCGGCCAATTAGAGTGAAGATAATCCTCTGATCCTATATTAATTACTTAAAGTTCTATTGAAATCAAAAGTAGCACAATGACGACAAACTTCGATTTTTGGATTTGGATGCAAACATTTTTTTAATATTTTTTCTTTCGATTGCTGGTAATAATTGCATCTAAATATAAATTAAATTTAAAAAAAAAATGAAATTAAAAAAATCTATTATCAATGATCAATGTGTGTAAAAGACAATATGACTATACACATCGATAAGGTCTTTTACGTTGACAAATGCATCTTTAAAAGTTAATTCATTCAAGAGATATTTGGTTTGAAATACATAAAATCTTTTGGACATGTTTAAATTATGCAATCATCCTATTTACTTTATAATCATATGCAGAAAAATATGTCGTATAAGTACCATAAGGAAGGATCTTTGTCATTTGTCACAATACAGGTATTAAAAAATGTGAAATACACGCACCACAAAAATATTGAATAACATGTTTGCATACAATACTAGTATGCTATAGCACACAGTTTATAGAAAAGGATTATCTAACTGGTCTCATTGAGACAAAACGATACACTTTAAAGGCAATTTATTACATGTTATAATACAAATAAAGAAATCCAATTTCCTGCATTTGTATATTCATTGGATAATACAAGGGGCTCTATAAAATGAACATAAAATTTGAAGGACTGGTATCACTTTATGATGTTTATTGGAAATATTGATGATTTAAGATCAAAATAAAGTCATTTAGTATTTTTTGTATTACAAAACATTTTTTCTGTAAAGCCTTAGGATGCTGTTCAACAAAGACGAAATAGAATCACCTCTGAAATATGATTTTTCTAACCATAAACAATTATAAAGAAAAAAACACACATTCTACAATAATATTTGATGCAATTTCCATTGATTTTGAACAGACTTCTTCCTTTCCAGGAGGGTTAAATAATCTAAAATTATTATATGATTGAAAAATTCCTATCTCTCTGACTGGCTGAGATCCAACAATGCAGAAAAAATACTACGTTTTATTCACCTGCATGTGACCTTCCAGGTAAATATAAGAATTTTTTTCTGATGTCATTTTTTCCCGATAATGCCCCCCTCCCCTCTTTTCAAATCGTTCCTATAAAAGAGACATTCATTTCTTTTTGTCAGTGCATAGACATGCTAGTGACACCTTGCAAAAATTCGTACATATACAGGGACATAGCATCGTTTTTGAAAGGGGGGGGGCAGCCAGAGAAAAAAAATTCAACTTACCTGAAAAAACTGGATAAGCAAAAAAAAAAAAAGAAGGAAAATTGTCCCAACTCGAAAATCCTATTTCGGGGGGGGGGGGGGGGGGGGGGGTAGGTAGGTTCCGACTTATTTGAGTACCACATTTCTTCATACACTACTACATTACCCTTATTTTGACTATACTGCAACAAAAAGTGGGAGGACATCCGTCCTTTCAATGAACATTTTCAATAGAAAAAAAATTGTTTGGAAAAAAGTCGTTGCTACGTGCCTGATATATATATATAAATACCGAAAGTCAACAAATGATCATGCACACTTGACATCGAACAACAAATACTGAAACTTGCTGAACAACCACTATTTCTTGTCGCCTGAAATACTTTCATTAACTTTTTCATGAACTTAACAAATGTATGTCGCTAAATGCTGTTCTACTAAATATGCTCATATAATGTTTTTAGTCTTGTTCTTGTTTGTTGAGCATTGACAGACTGCAATTTAAGTTTTTTTCATTTTCCTGTGAGATTTGATTTTTTAATTTTGTAAATACCGAAATCACCATAAGGGTTGGCTGAGATTTCAAATATACATCTGTATATCAAATAAATTTTTCTAAGCAAAGTTACATACTTTTAGTTTTAAAATTGCATTAAGTAATGCACCTTTGATTTTTATTACAAAATCAAAGATATTCATTGCTGGCATATATTTATCAAAGTTTTATCTAGAATATTGGTATTTAGGATTTGATAAAAAAAAAAAAAAGAAAAAAAAAAAAGAATAAAAATATGTATCTGTGTTTCACGTAGGTTTCATATGTATTTGTGTCAAATAAACAGCAAAGCCGCGGAATATTTCATTCTTAAGATTTTTTTTTTTAATTGAACATAATCGGAAATGACAAAGGTGTGTCAATACTTATGTGGCATAATGCAATTTATAATTCTTGTACAGATTGGTCCTAAATTACTCTTCGGTTAACATCGATAAATCATCTCGAAGTAAATGTTGAAAACGCTGTATGCATCTATACTCGTTGTTGGTTTTAGTAGTTTATGGATCACGATTATCCTAACATTAGATATAAACAAGATGAATTTAAAGAAAACTTACTTAAAACTATAACAGTTCAGTGTGTTTCAGCAAACATGTCCCGACTTTGGATGTCTGTATTTTTGCGCGGATATAAAGTATTTACAAAACAACAACTATTTTATAGTGTGTTTTCCGACAAAAAAAACATATTATAACATAAATACAATATACTATAAGGTCATAATTGATATTTTTTGAAGTGTGAATACATCATCAAATGTAAGGTAGTCAGGTTTTTTTTAACCTAAAATGGATGATAAAAGAGATCTCTATATTAATATTGTGAAACTGTTCTATGCAAACGGAAAACAACAAATACTAGTGAATAGGATTTTGAAAAATAAATACTCAGATTAGAGACATCTTTCTAAGAAACAGATTTTTTTTTCAAATTAAGTCAAATCTGATCAATATTGGGCGTCAATGACAAAATGAGGTTGGTGAGGTTGGAAATACGACAGCTATTTGGAACACCTTATAAAATGTCACTAAATCGAAATCTGCCTCTGAGGTCAATGTATTTAAGAATAAATAACCAAGATCTATTTAAAATTTCACATCGATAAAATTGTATGGTTATCTTCTATACGCCTTTTTCCGCTGAAATATGGCTGAAATATTGCCGACTCGGCGTTAAACAATAAACAATCAATCAATCTATACGCTTTTGCAAAACTTCCTTTTATTAATACAGCATTACTGCTTTTTGGAAAGCACAAAGTCTTATGATAGAGAGAATCATCCAAAATTGAACATCTATTAACAAAGAAATTATAAATATGATTATTCCATCATCGTGATATGCGTCTACAACTTTGAAAGAAGTAGAAACTACACAGGCATGCCATATATAGTTTTACTTCTTTAAGTTTTAGACGCATATCTTGATGAGAAATAAGACTTAACTCTATCTACATGAAGTATAAGAAAACATTTTTTTTCCTGTTTAAATGTAATGTTAAATAAATTGATTCTGCTAGATTGTTCATCTTTATTTTTAAATCTTGTAAAAGTGACTCAATTATATATGTAATTTTGCAAATATTCGACTATAGCTATGGATTTAAGAAAAAAAAAAGGTAAATATGTGGTAAAAATTAATTTCCTTGCCAGATTTTTATTAATTTTTACAAGTACATCGAAATATATCATGCATTAAAAATGTATTTCAGTGCATGAGCATGTTAGTGACACCATGCAAACATTCGGGAATATTTCTTACCGAAAGAGTTTGACATCCAACAACAAATAGATGAAACTTACTGTGCAACCTACATTGCGTGTCGCTTGAAATATTTTCTTTATACTTTCAAATACACATCTCTCAATGGCGTTCTACTATGTGCATATTAAGCAATGTTCTAGCCCACATGTGTAACTATAGTATTGACATAATACTATTATGGTTTTATTAATTTATGGAAAAGGACTATTCTGACAAAAAATAAAAATAAGGTGAATTTTAGGAACACAAATTGAATATTAGTATATCCAACATGAATTATAATGGTATATATCAAATCAACCCCCCCCCCCTCAAAAAAAAGAACAAGCAAAATATATTCTGATTTATATTTTGACAAAAGGTCATCAAAATGAGAAGAATAAATCTAATGAAAAACCCATTAAACAGTACTGGGTATCTACTACACCACACGCACAAAGAACAAACCATACGGATGGATTGATTGATTGATTGTATTTTGTTTTACGTTCCATTCGAGAATTTTTCACTCATATAGAGACGTCACCATATACCGGTGAAGGGCTTCAAATTTTGACCTTTACTCGGCACTCAGGGCCATTGAGCAGTGAGGGATCTTTATCGTGCCAACGCCTGAAGTGACAAGGGGCCTCGGTTTTTAAGGTCTCATCCGAAGGACCCGGAGCTTTCACTTCAAAGTGTCGAGCGCATGGCGAAGGAACAGTTGCTACCTATTTTTTTTATCGACTTAGGTCAGTCGCGGCCGAGATTCGAACTCACGACCTTCCGATCACAGAGCGAGCGCTCTAACGACTGAGCTGCCTTACGGATGGAATAGTTCCATGTTTCTTCTTCTGGAAAAGTTGTAGACGCATATCACTATAAGGAATATAATTTAACCCCTATGTACATGAAGTATAAGTACATTATACATTCATAACAACATTTTCCTATTTTCAAATGTAATATTTTTCTCGTAACTCATGTGCTATATGTGCCTATGCAACGTTTAAGTCCTTTTGACAAACTATATTTTGATAAGGATTTAAGGAACACTTAATTATTACATGCAGTATGAATATAGTAAATCACACAACACAAAAACGTAAAATATATTCAAACTTGAAATCTGGGTATCTAAGGGGTGACACAGCTATTGTATTTTTTCTGCATTATCCTCGCATACATACAATCAAAGGAGGCATTTCATTGTTTAAAGCATTTAATTATATTTATTATTTATTATCATTATGTTTTGCTTACATACCATGCTTTTTATTATTTATAGATAAGGCTAAACTGATCATAATTGCTTTACTGAATGCTTTTTAATCTGTTTCAGGGCAATCGTCATGGGATACAACTTACCAAATTTTGGCTCCAACAAACTTAATCTTTCTCTACAGCAGCTTGTTGGTATATATAACGGGACCTACACATCATGGAGCGATGCCATTTTTACAACAAACAATCCGAATGGCATTTTTCCGAATGAAAACATTATTGTGATAGCCAGGGCCGATAAATCAGGGTCAACTGAACTTTTTACTTCTGCGCTTTCTGCGGTTGATCAGAACTGGAACTCTACCTATGGCACATTTTCAAGGGGAATTAATGACAGTGGGACACCTTACCATTGGAATAAAGCAGCAATCACCTATTACGGGGTGCAGACTAGAGGTGTTTCGGGTTTGCTGTTGTCGTTCAAAAATTCTCTTGGTTATTTATCCGTTGCTGATGTTCAAGATGGAATCGTAGAAACAGCACTTCTTCAAAACGCAGCCGGTGAATACATGTCACCCACATCCACAGCAGTTCAAAATGCTATGGATTATTTTGCTGCTCTAAATCCTACGGCACAAACATTTTCATTGGCTAACAGTGGCGGTACAGGTGCCTACCCAATAGCAGGCTTCACACATTTTATCATTTACAAAACTCTTATGACAAATTGTGACTCAGCGAAAGAACTCATTCGATATATAGACTGGTTTATGACTCAATCTACTCCTCGTCATGACTGTGAAGTTTTGGGATTTGCTCCACTTAGCATGGATATGGTGAATAGAGTACATAAAACTGTTCTGGAACAGGTCTCTTGCAAGGGACGCAACATGTGGCAAGAGGTTATGGCGGACAAGCAAAGGGAAGAGGAGGTTGTTGATAATTCATGGCAAACGGAAGTAGCGATAGCGGTTCCAATCACTACGATAGTATTAGGGATATTTGGTGGTTATATATTGTTTCAAAGATTCAAATACTGGAGGCTACTAAATAAGGATGATTGGTTAGTTCCAATTGAGGATATCGTGTTTTATTATGATAGCCATCATCATTCAACGCATCATTCCTCGTTCTTTGCACGATCTGCTAGATCTTTACAGTCGGCACAATCAGAGATGGATAAGAGAGAATTGGAAGCTTTAGTAGATAAAGTGCTTCAGTGGCCTGGGAAATGGAAAGGGCATGACATTGGAGTAAGGTTGTTAGAAATTCCACAAATGCAAGTTTTAACAAAGCATATGAAACAGGAGATGCTCAGAATTCGTGATAAAGTACATCACCTAAACATTGTAAAATTTTACGGACTTACAGTCATAGACAACGAAAAATATGTGATTGGTGAGTACTGCCGAAAAGGGTCCCTAGCCGATGTCCTTCAGGACAATAAGATAACGATGACGCCAGATTTCAAAATGGCTTTAGCTTTGGATATATGTCAGGGGATGAATTATCTTCATCACCATCATGTTACTCATGGAAACTTGAAAGCGCGTGTATGCTTTGTAGATTGTAAATGGACCGTTAAAGTCGGAGATTGGGAGTTTTTGAAAATTTTAACACTAAACAACGAAAACGACGCTATGGCTATAGCAGATATGCACGCAGACGATTCACAGAGTCAGTGTTCTTGGGAATTCTGGATGGCTCCTGAAGTACTTCGAGCAAATTATAAATGCAGAATAACGCATGAATGCGATGTATACAGTTTTGCAATAGTTTTACAAGAAATATACTCGCAAGAAGAACCATACACAGAACACCTTGGAACAACTTCGACTGCGGATATCATCCATGCAATATACTCTAGTAACCTGCGTCCAAAAATCCAACTGGACATTCCAGTGGCAATCAGACAAATCATGGAAATTGCGTGGACAGACAACCCAGTCAGCCGGCCGTCGTTTGATCAAATATTGAAGCTAATGAAACGGAACAGTCCAATGAGAAAATCAGTAATGGACAGTGTCATTCAATCTATGGAAGATTATACGCAGCATCTAGAGGAATGTGTGGAGGAGAAGACGATAGAATTAGAGTCAACAAAGAAAAATCTGGAGGCCATGATGTCCAGTATTATACCAGGGACAATTGCTAATGCTATCGCGAGTGGTGAATCCATAGATCATGATCAGGAGAAGCTAATTGGGGTAATATGTGTGGAGATAACCAAAGAAAATGATTTCAACAATTTATCCTCAAAAGAAAAAGTAGAAAAACTGACAAGTATGTGTACGTACCTGGATCTACTTGTAAGCAAGTACTCAGCATTTAGATACAGTTCGCATGGAACATCTTTCATGATAGTTGTAGGTATGGGAGAGGTGAACAATAACAACGAATACTGTGTTGCTTTTAAAACTGCGCATATGTGTTTAGACATTCTAACTCATGAGCACATTGAGGACTCCAGCTGTTCTTCTGACGACGTGTGGATGATGCAGCTGAGTATAGGTGCTCATGTTGGTACTACCACTACAGGCATTATTGAGACTGACACACCTCAGTTTGTTCTCTTCAGTGATTTGCCGGAAGTTGTTCGATGCCTTGCAAGATCTTCGGACGCTTCAAGAATTCATACATCCCAGGATCTACGGAAAAAGATCCTTACAACAAACAATTTTTCAACTGAAAGATCGGGTCTACTCATCGTCAGGGTTAGTAGTTTTGTTGCATTCTTTGTAAGAATGTGTATAGAAAAAAATGAAGAAAAAATGTATTGAAGATCACAAAATATTTGCGACACCTTATTTTTGCGAAATATGTATTGGTATTTATACGAATTTTTGGTGAGTGAATATGAGTGAAATTTTCGCAAGAAGACCGTCACAGGTAATTATACGCGATAACGTTAAATTCTCGAGAATAAAAAATAATTTACAGAATGCTTATAAGAATTCAGTTACCAGAATAGAAATAAATGAAAAATATTATGACTTTTTCAAAATCACTGCGTATATGTATATAGGGTAAAATGCATGTATCTTTATTTATGTCGTGAAGTTTACAAGAAGTCTCTTTTTTGTAGGGCGTTGAATATGAAACATACTGGCTCACCGGACGAACCAGGAAGTTTTCTAACAACTTGTTGAACAAAACTCTGATAATTCCAGATCCACAACTACAAGAGGAAAAGGAAAAAGAGGAACCAAACATGATGAGCCCGTCCCCAAATAACCTCCTAGTTCCTCTCTCTGATAAAATTAGTCCTTCAGTAAGCCCTATGCCAAATGAAAATTCAAAAAAGCCAGCCCTTGCTAACGAAGCCAAGTCACCGAAAATTGAGAAAAAGGCAATAACATTTGCCAATGAAACTCGTTCAAAGGAAAATGGAGCTCTTAAATTGGGCAATGGAAAGACCAAGACTGCATACCAACGACGAAGAACAAAGCAAAGGGCAGACGTGTTACCGGAAGTGATGGAAGTAACAATCGATGTAGATGATGATTTTGCAGAGGTTTGACAATGTCAGAAAAACATATCTATAATTCAAGTTATATAGGAACGCACTTTAACGATCTCTATTTATTTTCTTTAGATCTACTCAAATCACATATTGAAGTTTTCAACAGGGTTGTTAGTTTTCAGTAATCATGTTATCCTCTTTGTGGTCCCAAAGCCTGTAAATTAAAATTTTACTACAATATACTTTATTAGATAAGAATGTAATTATTTTAAGTCTTAGTTATAATATACGAATAAAAGCGGGAAATACTATGGTGTAATAAATTGAGAATTCAAAATGTTTATACATGCACTAATCATCAGTTGTATTTAGCACCAATAAGCCAGGGATTCAAGTGAGCTCTATCAAAGTTCATGTATCGTTCGTCTGCTTCTGTTTCACAGTCTGTACAGCTATTTTTCTACCTGTTCACGTTTTTAGTGTCCTTTTATCAATGGAATGTAGGATTATGCAAATGAAAGATGGTGTCCTCTTCAAGGAGGATATACTCAAGAAGTGACGAAAATAAAGTAATTTATTTTAATGACCTTATCAGACCTCATTTGGCAAAAACGAAAAAAAAAATGTTTAAATATTTTTTGATGTAATATAATCTCGAGTTTATTTCAAAATTATGATTCTGGAGTGGAATTGGGTGACATTTGGGTATCATGTTTTATTTTGAAATAGGTCTAAAAAGGGAAAAATCTTCTTTATAACTGGGAGCGTAAAAATAAGATCTTGAAGCATTCCCATAGGCTATTGATTAAACTCTGTTAAGTAATGTATCCTTGCTGAATATGATACAGTATTGAATCCAAATTAAACATCGAAATAATTTGGAACAATTAGGGAATAATCACTAAAAGTATTCGTTTTAAGACCAACGGGTCATTCTAATTTGATTTCATCTACATGTAATTGGTTAGAAATCATCAATTTCTTTTTTCAGTCCCTTGTCCCATAGAAAAGGAAGGTGCAACTATAAGGGATCAGAGTTTTACATAGGAATATATACATGTATAGGGGGAGAGGTGGTGCAGATTCAAGTTTATTCAACTGATTGTTCCGCGGGGATAGCAAAGGGTCACAAATAGGGGTTCAAAGTTTTACAAGGGAATTTAAAAATAAAACTTTAAGAACTCTTCTCTTCAAGAAGAGTATCATCATGATTTGCCATATTTGTATGCAAGCATCCTCAGGTAGTGTAAATTCAAGTTTGTTCAATCGTTGGTCCTCGAGTGTAGGATGGAGCCAGAATAGGAGATCAAAATTTTACATGCGAATGTTTGGGCAAAAATATTTTAAAATCTTCATAAAGAGCTCAGAAAGGCCATAATTAGTTCAGATTCAGGATTGGTCAATTTTTTATCGACTCAGGTCAGTCGCGGCCGTGATTCGAACACACGACCCTCCATTCACGTAGCAAGCGCTCTACTGACTGAGCTACAGTGACGGTCATGGGCTTTAGATATAATTGCTCAAAATTTGAAAGAAAATTCAGAAAAATCATTTATGTATCCTACTGTTTTCCTTACAAACAGCTCACCGAGGCTTGTATTTGCTTAAACTGACATGTACAACAGGACAATATTGTGTGAAAATGGAATACATGTATGTCAATTTTTAAAAATAACAAATGACGAAATCTTGGATTCACAAACAAAGGGGGAAATCAGCAAACATCGAATATTTTGTCATTTAGCTACACAACATTTAATCAAATTTGTCCTGATCCCCTTTCCCAAAACAATATTTTTACAAATAACAATAATGCTGAGTTCAATCACAAACTTCGAAAAAATGTTCAAAAGCTTATCAAAGCAAAAAGATGGCGAACAATAAGGCCTCATGACGGCAAAGAGGATTGCAAATGATAGAATGTCACAAACAATGTTATTGGATTTCCAAAATAACCAAAATAGGGTAACAAGTTGAATCAAAATAATAAATACATTGTTCCACTTCAATATTCTGCAGCCGCATCATGCATTTCTATCACCCAAGAATGTACAAGGCTATAATTTTTCAAATTAATAGGCAGCACCTGTATATAGAATAGATTCAAGATTATTCAAAACATTGCCACGAAGCTAAAAAGTGAACTGTAACCTGTGTCCGAACTTTTACTTGGAATACTGGAAATATCCTAAGGAACATCAAAGCTGATACAGATTCTCAAATTGATGTGCAAGTTATGCATACAAATATCCTGTCTTTGCTAAAGTTTTGTTCAATGAAAAGTTTCATTACGAATTCATTTAGAAAGAACAATGCGTCTCCTGTGAGCGTTAATTGTGACCCAAGAGCATACATTGTTTCTATCAGTATTATCATCTTTTTGCTGCACTTTTACTATCAAAATATGTTTGTTAGATTTGTTAGATTGGTAATTTTTTTTTAAAAGTAACTTAGTATTTTGAAGCACTTTTTTCTTCAAGATATTTGTGAGGAGGATGAAACAATTTGTCACAAGTTTAGGAAACTTATAAGTGAAATAAATGCATTTGAGTCATACATGGTTGTCTTACGTTCTGTTTATAACAAGAGCTCCAAGGACCTGAACGGTCACCTGAGTATAATAAAACATTGTAAAGGAACCACAGAAGTTTAAAAAAAACAAAAAAATAAACATAGATGATCGAAGCTGTGTTGTCTAAAAGCATGAGAAATCAGATGATCAGTCTAACTAGTCTATTGCTCAGTAATAAATGTTAAATCAGATCTATTTATTTGTCTGTATCTGCCCCCATTTATCACCATCACCATTATGACTAAACAAAACAATAGTGCTTCAGCACTATTAGAATACCAATTACATTCCCTCTCACATTTGTCTCTCTTGCTCTCTCAATTTTGAAAAAGGCACATTTGCTAATTATAACTATGCACCTAGTTTGATTGTTTGCTTTGAATACCCAGGAGCAGAGATTTTCAAAGAATTTATACGGTTTCACTGTATGATCATTAGAGCCCCGCCCTAACTCCAGAACCCCTGATCCTTCCCAATTTTGGAAGAAGCATCCTAGCTCATTATAACCATATACCTAGTTTATCTGAACAGTATACAGGGGAGGGGGAGAGAAGATTTTTAAACAATTTATGCATTTTCACTTTATGATCTTTAGAACCCCGCCCTAACTCCAGAACCCCTGACCCTGGGGCCATGAATTTCACAATTTTGAAACAGGCACCGTTGCTCATCATAACCAGCCACCTAGTTTATCTGCTAAATGTGAAGGGGGAGAGAAGATTTTTATAAAATTTATGCATTTTCACTACATGATAAATAGAGCCCAGTCCTAACTCCAGAACCCCTAACCCTGAGGACATGAATTTTACAATTTTGAAAGAGGCACCCTTGCTCATCATAAACAGCTGTAAAAGTATAGTGTTAAATTGATAGAATGTCCGTAAAAGGGGCAGCACTTCCTTATATATGTGTCAGAGAAACATTAGTTAAAATAAAAAAGTAAATATTTATACTGGAATTCCCATATATTCCCATACAAAATAAACATCTTGTCAAGTCTTCATGCGAAACACTCAACCCCCCCCCCCCCCCACACACACACACACACTCACTCACTGATTGAGAAAAAAATTCTATTAGAGTATTTCTTTTAAAAAAAATAATAACGACAGCTTCTATTTGAAATTTGTTCGCGTTCAATGTATAGGCAATAAAAATTGAGAGAGAGAGAGAGAGAGAGACAATGGTCTCGCTAGAAAAGTGTTACGTGTCTACGAGTGAGCAGATCTTCTTTGACTGCATGGGGTGGTAGAAGAAATGAGAGTCAACTGTCGTTCGCTCATAACGAGCCTAGATCAAGGAATCATTGCTCGGTTAATGACAACAAAATAACAACTGCCCAGACAAAATTGAATCCATATAATTATCTATATAATTTTGTTAATAAAGTAAGAGCACTGTTACATTTACTAGGGTCTAAAAGACATATGACGTATTACATATAAACATGATTAATTTGTAGTTATTAATTTTCGCTACAGGATGGTCTGCTGATTTGCGTATTTTTGTGTGATTTTCGAGCATATATAAAAAGTTTGGGTATATAAGTGTCAATTATTGACCACACTAGTGCAGATTACTAGGTAGCGTGTGCAATAACCTTCATACAATTCAATTCTTGATTGGTACTAAAGCACACTATAAAAGAATGCGTTGTTAGCCATACATATACAGCTGTATATATGCATTGACACATTACAAAATATTTAACTGGTCAAGCTCGTTTCTAACATTAAAACAGTCTCTGATATCTTATAGATACAAGGTAAACAAGATAAGGTATTAACATCTAGCAATTTTGAATACTTTTTTTTTCAAAAATGTTCATACACAGGACAATCAAGTACAAAATGTTTTCTATCTTCAACATTAGTTTTACAATGAATTTCTCTAAGAATAACAAGATGACAAAATAAAATTTTGAATTTTTTCAAAAGGAGTTTTATCAAAATTATTCGGTTTTGCATTAAAATGAGAGATCCAAATTTCTGAGGAGTACATTAAGACTGGGATAATATAATTGATTTATAGAGCTTTATACAACTAGCTAAGTTTTCCGGGTAGTGTGTTTTTTGTGTATTGTGTAACACAAGTTCCACTGTGTCTATTCAAAACCGGAAACAAATATCTCTATGTACATTACTTTTATAAATATATATTTATTTCAAAAGTTTTCTGTTTTGATTTTGTTATATTCAGAGAAGCAATAGAATAAGGGACCAAACAATAACCAGGGTGGGACTGAAGCAATGTATGATGGGGTATAGATACTTTTGGGAGAGAGTTATCTAGCAAAGTAAAAGAGGTCTCTCTAAGTGAAAGAGATATCTCTATAGCTTAAGAAAAATCTCTCTTGGCGAAAGAGATATCTCTAAAAGAGTAAGGGATATCTTTCTAAGGGAAATAGATATCTCTCTGAGTGAAAAAGATCTTTCTAGGTGAAAAAGATATCTCTCTTATGAGAGAGATACCTGTTCTTTAAGTCTTTGAGAGATATCTTTCTAAGTTGAGAGATATTTAT